ATATGGAGCAGCCGATAAAAGTATCTCTGTGTTTTACGATAACAAGGAAATTAAACTAAACCATTCTTTAGGCCTGTGTAAGACATATGCAGCCTGGAGATATAGCAAGTTCATCTATATCAATACCAATTTTTTAGACCATGCAATTACAACTATTTGTTTAAAAGATATATGACTTCCTGACGATCCAGAATTTACATGCCAAGAAAGCGATTTTGATGGAAGCAATTTTTATATAATCAAATGGGAAATAAAAGTTAAAATAACAGGTATTTTTAAAGATAATGACAGTTATTTAAAAAATACAATATATTAAATAAATTTAATATTTTTAAAATAGGAAATATTTTTTTTTGTTGGCCAGAACATGAATTACATGGTACAACTGTTTTATCGACAGAAGGAGTAACATATGGTTTATTTTAAAACTTGACCAAAAAAATTGTAACTGCGATAAAAAAATAGAGAGAAGGTAATAAAAAAGAAGCCCATGTGAAATACCAACACAAATAGCCGCAACAAGATTTACTTGTATTATATGCACTTGAAGATTCAATTAAAAAAAACCAGAAAAAAAATGATAATCAAATTTTATTAGATGGGACAAATTATAAAGGTGAATATTTTAATTTAGAAAAAAATAGTCGTAACTGGCAATAAATTTTTATTTATTTTTAAAAATATAAATTAAATTAAATTAATTAATTAATTAAAAATATAATGGCTTAAAAATAAATTTAAATTTAAAAAAATTAAATTAAACATTTTTAACTATATTTATTGAAATAAAACAATTTAATAAAAATTATATTTATATAAATTGATCGGTTTCAGGTTGGATCGATTTACAGAAATTAAAACCGACCAATTTAAAAAAAATAAACCAGATAGGATTCAGTTTTAACTGAAACCGATTCAAACCGAACTACTGTGATCTCTACTAGAGGCATGCAAATTAATACAATTCTGAGTTGTATGAGATCAGACGAAAGAGACAATGGTAATTTGTTTTTGTAAAGGCTAATTTATTTATTTAATAAAATAAAAGTTCACTTTATATACATGTTTGAGTTATATTATTTTTGTACATGGTAAATATATGCTATGTTAAAAATATAAACTTATTTAATTTTGATAATTTCGGTACTTTCGGTTCGGTATCGGTATTGCAAAGTTTCGTACCGAAAATTTTCGGTAATTACCGGTACCGATACTGAAAAATATTTTGGTATCAGTTTTATGAAATACCATACCGAATGGTACCGATCAAAACCCTATTCTCAAGCATATCACGAACCAACCCACAGATAATTATCTCATCTTTTCTGTTATCTGACCAACCTATCAATGTATTTCTCTATTATAACAAAGGCAACAACACCTTGTTAGTCTTTAAACTAGTTAACACTCTAACTTATACCTTGCACTCTAACTTCTGGAGCATTTTTTGACCAGTACTCCTTCAAACAATCACTGATCTCCCAACTCATTCATCACTCAAATTTATCTTAACAAAATCTCTGATCTAAAAACTTTTAAGTACTCAAACAGACTAGTGAAAATTCCTTACAGCAGACTCATCAACGAATGTATTACCCTTATAGCAGCAAATAATATCAATACTTTTTGGTAGAAATTAAAAGACCATCAACCACAACCTGTAACTTTCCCACCATCAACTCACCAATTCCCCAATGTTTCTCTTCCACATTTACATTCTCACTCTTAATTAACAATACTCATGCCACAAGCATCACACACTGAATAAAGTTTATAAACTACTATATCAATCTATTTGATATCTTTCTTAGTCAATCAGCATCTTACAAACCTTCATCTTTCATGGAATTGGAAACCATTATCAAAGCAAACAACAAATTAAAAACATTTGACCAAACAAAATATAGGGCATTATCAACATTCAGAACAAAACTTCTTGCAAATCAACTTTCAACCAGAATCAAACTTTACAAACGTTACTCTAGCCTCTACTCTGACAACATGTGTCCAATATGTAATGTATACTCAGAGAACCTACCACATATCTTTTCCTGCATCCATAACAAATCCTTAATTAATAGAAAGAAAATCAAACTTGAAAACTTAATTTTAGAGCTAAATTCCAAAAACATTAAAGCTATTGACTTTATCGGCATATTCAAGTTAACAGATGACAACTTATTAAATTTAGCAATTGGTAAATTCAATTATCCATTCAATTTTCTTCAAAAAAAAGAAGACATATCTAATTACACTTTCAAAATTTTATACTAGGCCTGAAAAGCATGTTCCACCTCAGCAACTACATTGTCAGCATCTGGAATAAAGTGGAAAAAAACTTTTATTGCAAAATTATCAAACATAGGAGCAAATAGCAATTCAACATTTAATACAATTCTAAATTTAGTAACTATATCACATAATTATACTGACAAGTCAATATTTACCCCAGCAGTAGTATCATTGTTCTGAACAGGCATTAGTCATTTAGCACTATTGTTGCGAATATACTCCCATAGTGATACCTGGTTTCAATAGATTTGTTGTGATAGGCTATAATTAATTTACCATGTAAAGATTATTAATATAATGACAGTAAATACTTTTTATTTAAATAAAGTCTTACATTTAATGCTTGTTCACAATAAAAAAAAAAAAAGAATATGTTTACATGACTTGTATTTAAAAAAATTTTTTTATAGCTATTAAAAATAAAATCGATGTAAATATTATCTTTATTGAAACTCGAAATACAAAAAATAATCATAAGTCAACTTTAGGCAGATAATGTCTGAAAACCTGCAGAAATAATTTGTATAACAGGTTATCCAAAGTCCACAGTATATGATATAATCAATCAAATTAAAAAAAAATCTTTCATTACACCACTTCCTATACCTGGAAGATCCTAATTCTCACACTTTGACAACTTCGTTACCTTGGTCAGATCATGCAAATCAATAAAGTTGCTACTATAGCTGAAATGGTTGAAAGAATTGTCCTCAAAGATTTCTATTCATACTGTTTAACATATATTAAAATAAGCTCTTCAGTTTGTCGTTTGTTATCTAGTTACCTTTCCTCTTCTCCAGCCTTACCATGTTGCTGCAAGTTTTGAATGGGCTTAATATCATATTAACCATGACTGGCATCATACAATTTTTTCTGATGAAACAACCTTTCAGATATTTAGAAATATATAGTTAGTAAGATACAGTTGTGAGGAGTTGCAACCACACCAAAGTATGGTAAAACATCCCTATAAAGTTTATGCTTAAGGTGCATTTTCAGCATGAGGTCTGATCGCGCTAGTTTTATTTACAGAAAATTTTAATTCTACTAAATATCAAGAAATTCTTGAAACTTATTTTTTTTCTCAAATTTTTAGATTAGCTTGTCACAGATTTTATTTTCAACAGAATAATTCATCTGTCCATAATTAAAAAAAAACACATTGTCTTCTCAAAGACCAAGGCATCCAAATTCTCGATTGGCCTGCCTATTCACCCAACCTAAACCCAATCAAGAATTTATGGGCAATACTTAAGAGCAAGATCGAAAAAGAATCAAACCTACGTCTAATAAAAAAAAAATCTTTCAAATAATATTTTTCAGTAAATTATTTATTGGATGTGGGATGAATTAGATAAAGACCTATTTCTTACATTAGCAACATGTATAGAAAATCGTATTTTAGAGGTGCTTGATCGAGAGGGGGAGAAACTAGATAATTAAAAGAATTTTTTTTAATTAGTAATCATATTTAATTATATATATATGAAGTTTCAAGGATGATTAATAAAAAAAAATTTTTTTTACTTACCATAAAAAATTCCAGATATTTATGATGCCTACTGTACTATATAACAATATATGGAAATCCAGAAATGAAGATATGATCTTCCAGAAAAAAATCCTCAAAATTACTTCATAGCAAAAAAAATCAACAAAAATAATTACATCCATTTCAATAAATCATACCAATATAGTAGCAACAAATTAAACCAATAATAATCACATTTATCACTTCAATACCATCTTTCCAAATATCTTTTCTGACTGTATTTTACTAATTAAAAATTTATTTTTATCAGATCTAGATGAAAATCTAAATTATTAGGGAGGCATTGACTTTCTAATTTAGTAAATAGTTCTAAAATTTAGTCAAATTAAGGTTTTTATAGAATATATTTACTTATAGGCAGATCAATATGTATAACAACATATCTCAATATATCACTATTGTTATAAATTTTATACTAATATTCTTTGTAAAAATTAAATAAACAATTAATAAAGATCAGAATTTGAGAAGTGCATTGCAAAAAAAAAAAAGCAATAAAGACTTAATAATTTCTATATTGAGATTTATTATTCTTTCTTAATCAAATTATTTGATTCAATAACAAATAATATATATTGAAAGTGTGTTATCACCTTTGACTTTTATTGAACTCTGATAAAACTTATGATATTTAATATATTGAAAACAAAAATTTTTTATCGTAGAGTGGATATATAATTAAATAAAACATGTACAAGCAAAACCTTTCAGTCAACCACGTAGATGTGTATGTATATAACTAAAACTGATCGAATTGTTTCCGTTTCAAAATTGGGTTAGTATAGCCTGATGCCATATAGGAAAAATAAACACTAAGTTTGACGAATGTTTATTTGAATTCGGTTTTTTATTTAAATAATGCACTAACATAGCAAATACATTGTATAAAATACAGGTTACGATTTTCTTTTATATTTGGCGGTTATATATCAGTTAATTTTCAACAAAAAAAATATAATACAATAAACTGCAGTTAACTATTGGAATATTTTATTAATATTTTTAATTGTAACACACAGATACCGATGCATTGATGCATTGTATGTTAAAGTTTAATGTCTTATTTTTTTACAGCTCAAGATAAAAATATTTCAATAATTAGTTTTAGTACTTTTAATTTTTGCTACTACTGCTATTCATATTTTTTATGGTAAACCTACATTTCACGTCCAAAGACCTGAGCCCAATAACCATTCAAAAATCCAGCCCCAAAATGAGTATAATTTGGATTAAGCATATTTTTTCTATGGCCTTCAGAGTTTAACCATCTAAATATGCATGTAAAATAATTAAAAAATACAAAAAATTTTTATGAAAATACAAAATTACAAAATTAATGTTGGTTACAAAAAAGTTTTTAAAGAAAATACTATAAATTTGTATTACCCTCTTATAGCTGCATTTGCATCTTCATGTCCGTGTGCTATATTTTCAGCACAGCCAGACCACAAAAAATGGTGAGCACTAACCCTAGTCCCAATGCTACCGGATATATGATTTTCATGCGTCAAACCGTATGATGCCATATAATTGCATTGATCCTGAGCGGCCTTTGCTAGACGACTGTAATATTTTTTTGTGGGAAAATAATAGTATATATAATAATAAACCTAACTTGGTTAGAATAAATAAATATTTTATTCTAGTTTTTGAGTAATTGCCTAGTAAACAACTTACGAATCCCACACCAGATCCCTAACACCAGCTTTTCTACGCTCATTATTTACTAAATGAACCATATGAGACATGGATTCCTCTTGACAAGCCATATCTTGGCCTTGAAAAAAATAAGATACGAGATGTGACATTTTTTTCTTCAATTCACTTTCTAAGTTGGATTTACATTCAGTAGATTATGCTCGTATTTATAAATATTTTTATTAATATAAATTAAAAATGCATGTACTTTATTGAAAGGACCGGTATTGTAGAGAAAAATGTTGCCTGCGTTACAACAAATAGTACTACAAACAACTACGTAATCTTCTCAAATTATACTGTTAAAAATAAAATAAAATAAATAACATTTGATTTATTATAAAACTATTAATATACAATATTTTTTAATTCTCATCCAAATGTATGGTAACAAAATGACGGGTTTGTAACCGGAAAAACCTCTGTCACATTACTTACTCAATAACAAATAAATCTGCACAATTTTATTTTTAAATTTCTTGGCGTAACGGTGCGCATAAATTGACTCGGAGTTATAGAAATTATTCTTCCATAGATTTCTGGCCGCTCAAATAAACTTTTATCTTGTTTCTGTTTAATAAAACCGAATACAGTCTTGCGCTTTACTCCATAATACAAGAATTTTTTATTAATAACGCGACAAAGTTGTCTTTCAATAACAAGCAACCCAATATTATGCTCTGTTTTGTATAATTAAATTTTCCACAAACATGAATACTGTGAATGTAAAATAAATCCTACAAACTTTATAAATGCAGAAATTTTTTCTTTCAATTGAACAAGTTAGTGGTAGTAATGGAATGTTGCAAAACCTTTTACTGTTCACAAGGAACAAAATAAGAATTATAAAAAATAACAAAGCCCGAGACATGCCAAAATACAGTCTGTTTTCTCTGGTGAATTATAGGGCTACGGTGATTCTTGTTTTAAACTTAAGTTTACAATCAAAATATATTGTTATTGTCACCGGCGAGTCTGTCGCTAGAACGACGCACTCTTCGCGTGACGATAATCCGAACGCTTGGATTTCGGCAATAAATAAGGTAAGGCTTTAACTCCGAGGCGGATTACGATTTGACCGACTTTCGCGCACTGGCTAATCCCTTCTTGACCGTCTTTCCCTAGGCGCGTCTCAAGATTACAAGTGTCGCTCTCTTACGGTACACAACGGTAACGTCGCGTCTCTCTTTCTTAAAGGTTACTTTACTGTAGTGGCATAGACTTAGTTTATACTTCAAGGAATGTGTAATATGATTTTGCAAAGTTGTGGCATTTATTGAATAAAGCACGAGAAAGTAAAGAGCGTTCTTAAACTCTAAGCTCAAAGCTCCAAGCTAAACTCTAATTCCCAAACTCTGATCGTTCTTCCAACTACATAATTCATCCTATTTATATGCTTTGTCGACGCGTCCTTTCCATTACATGCCATTACCAATTATTACATCATTTTACCATCCATGTTACTATTATTACGCGACGCGCCACAGTATCACGTTCCCATCCCTATTGTTCCCACAACAATATATAATTTTTTTCTTTACATGTCACCTTTACGTTTTTTTTTCCAGATTTTGATTCATAATTTTTAAAATCAAAAACCAAAACTACAGTAATTGGTGAAATGCCTTGCCTTTTAATGCAACAGACGACATAAACCATTAATTTGAGTTTCATGAAATTCTAGAAACAAATAAAATTAAATAATCAATTGAATTTATTGGTTATATATTTATTTTTAATACAAGAATGTAAAATGTATAAAACTTATTGAGTACAGTAAATTACTGCAATAATAAATCAGTGATATGGTGTGATTGAGTAACAGTATACATGTGGCTAAAATCCATTGTTGATATCTCTCTTGATAAGTCTATCACTTTTTTGGAGTGATTCTTCCATTATTTCAGATAAGTTTGGTTTCTTTTCTATATGAGGCATGTGAATTTGTTTCATTAAGTCTTATACTAATAAAAATTTTCTTCTTTTTCCATTATCTCCTTCCATTAAACAAGTCTTAGATTCTCTTTTAGTCATTCTTCTCTTTATGGAAAATACTGAATTATATGAGTTAATTTGGTTTCTCTTTTTAATAACATTAATCCATGTTTTAATTAGAAAGATTTTAATTAAAGAATGCTTTGTTTTATTATTTCATAATTGTTTATAATATCTCTTTAAATCTTACATAAATAGAATTAACTAATACACTAATATTTATAATATAAAGTTTATATATACAGTATATCAATATATTTTGTTATAAATGTAATTTATTTTATTTTATTTAAATACAAACTTATTACCTTTTAAATATATCAGTGCAGCTTAGTATATTGATACTTTATTACTTATATTAAATTGTTTAACTATCTCATTATAATTGTTATAATAAGTTTCTATTTTTTTAATATTTTATTATGTATTTTATTATTTGTTCTTTTATTCTAGATGATTTCTTAATTAGATTGTATATATATTGCAAAACCATTTTATTTTCTATATTCTCAATGCCATATAATTGTATTAGCTATTAGATTTCTTAACTATATATTAAATAAAATAGTATTATTCTTATTATTGCATACATTATATATGGTTCAGAAAATTAAACTTGTATAAACCTGCATAAGATTTGAAACATTATTAATAGAATATAATTTATATATTGTAAAAATTATAATAAAATAAAGTAAATAGATACATGATGCTTTTAACAATTAGGATTTAATTAAGGCTTGAGAAATTTTTATAATTTTGAATTTTTTCCATATGTATAAAAAAAAGAGAAATATATTAAAAAGACAATAACAAAATAAAAATCTTTTAAAAATTAAACTTAGTTTTATATTTAATACTTTCACTTACCTCATAACAATTGATAATTGCAATATAATAACAGACTTATCAATTAATATTCTTAAATAAACCAATTAAGATAAGTTTTTTAATTATATTGATACAATTACAAGTAATATAATTTTATTTAATATTTAAGTTAATTTCATATTCTAACTAGTTAAATCTATTTATATTTATTACAACACATATACTAATCTATTATTATGTTATACAAATTTTCTTTAACTATTTAAGTTTTTTAATATAAAGTTTAATAAATTGTATAATGTCACATTTCTAATAATAATTTCAATAACATATATATATATGTTTGTTAATACTATAGATAAAGATAGGTCATTAAATTAAAGGCAAGAACATAATTCAAATGTCCCTTACTATTAAAAAAAGTTTTTTAAAAAATATAAGATAAAAAAAAAACTATCTATAAAGGTTTTTTGCAATTTAGGCCACTTGATCCAAGTGTTTTTTAAATTATGTTCCTATTAAAGTAATGAATAAATAATTATGTCCCTTCAAAAGGAATAAAATTGATCTATAAAATTATATATACTAAATAATTTAGGGACACATCCTTAACAATAGATATTTATACAAATTTACTAATATTGCCAAAGCAATAAACAAAAATATTATTAAATATGCATTATATATATTATTAATAACAATACTTTCAATTACGTAATCAAAATTGATTTTAACAATCTGGCTAGCAAAAATTTTTTATAAAGTTTTTGAACAAACAACCATTTTATTAAATTATAAATAAACTATCATAATTTTAAAATAGTTTAAATATAAGCCCAGTAAAGTTTTTTAAAAAGATATTGAGTTTTTCTATTTATTATTTAGCTTTTTATTATAAGAAGTTTTTAATTATTTAATTACAAATTTTATAAAAATAATATTTTTTTCAGTAAACAAAATATATCAATACAGAATTCAACTATCTTAAATATTACAATTTTGTTATCAAAGTAGTCAAAAATTAATTAAAATCTATAGAATAAACAATAGTTTTACTCTAAATTTATTAACTTTTGCTATATTAATTCTATAAAAAATGATTAAAAATTATTGTTTTCAATTTCTAATTTAAAAAAATAACCATTAAGGAAATTATCAATAACAAAATTCAAAAAATATCAATTTAATTATATTAAGTTTTGGACAAGACAAAAACTGTTAAAAAATATTTCATAACTTAAAATTTTTTCTTTTTTTATTGAGAGAAGATAATCAACTTTATAATAACTCTAATAAATTTATTAAAATTAATTTTAATCACTTAAAAAAATTAAAACTTATATCTTTCAATTTAAACAACAAATAAACAATAAATTATAGGCTTTTAAAATAATTTTAATAATATATTTAATAATTTTTAATAAATAATTATTTAAAAGATATAAAAAGTTTTTTATAATTAACTTAAATAAAAAATTCTAGATTTTACTTTTATTTTATATAAAGCCTTATATGTTTTTTGTTATATAATATAATAAAAATAATGTAATTAAAAAAAGCAGAAGAGTAAGATTTTGTGATGTTCTCTTAAATAAAAGTGATTTGATATTTTTTTTTTCCCTTAGACTGGTTTATTTTCTCTCCAAAATCAAAAAAATCTTATTTCAATTTATTAAAAAGTTTTTTTTATTAATAATTATCCTGAGAAGGTATCAAGTATTTAAGGTCATAAGACTTTATAAGCAATAATTCCTATTGTAAGTCTTGTTATAAGACCTTGAATATTTTTAGTCAACAATAAAATAATAAAAATTAAATAGTTTGTTCAGCTGCAAATAATAGTAAAGGATTTATTCCGATAAATTAAAATTGATATTGGCAGATTTTTATTTATAAGAACAAACTTTTCAAATATCATTTTCTCTTTTTTTTTACTTTTTTAAAAAATAAATTTTTTTTTATCTCTATAAGATTATAGCAGTAATATAAGAGTGACAGTCTAAATGAAAACTGGTTGTGATGTTTTATACTGGTGGAAGTACTAGAATAAAACTGAGCAATATTTTTATTTCTCATTATTATATTTAAAAACCTGAGACTTATAATAGATGTGCTGTATAGCAATATAATAATTTAGCATTATTATAGTATTTTCAATACAAATGTATAATTGTTTTTTTGCAAATTGGATTAGACTTGCAGTCTAATTTAAATAAAAAAAAGAAAAATTTAATTATAATACAAA